GTAATTTAAACAGTGTATGGATGCTACTACCATAGCCCAGAACCATGGTCGGCAAACTGCGGCTCACGAGCCACATGCGGCTCTTTGGCCCCTTGAGTGTGGCTCTTCCTAAGCCTTAGGAGTACCCTAATTAAGTTAATAACAATGTACCTACCTATATAGTTTAAGGTTAAAAAATTTGGCTCTCAAAAGAAATTTCAATCGTTGTACTGTTGATATTTGGCTCTGTTGACTAATGAGTTTGCCGACCACTGCCTTAGAGCCTCGTGTCCTGCTGCCATGTCTCCAGCAGAGAGGAGGGTGGGGGCTTAGAGGAGTTCTGTTCAAACTTTCATGAATATAAGGAACACCTGGGAATCCTGTGAAAATGCAGGTGCTGGTGCAGTACACCTGACAGGGGCCTGCGCTCCCAGGTGATGCTGCCAGTCCCAGGACCAAATTTTGAGAGCTTGCTTTTAAAAATACCCTGAGAGCCTAAATTAATTGTTCTAAGTGGGATTCAGAAATAGAGGATGGGCCGAAAATAATAATAAAATTCCCAAAGTGTTTACTAGAGGAAAAAAAACACCTCATTTCTAAATATATTTAAAGACAATAGGCAGATACAGCTAGAAAAACATTAATTTATTAACTGGCCTTACCATGAGAGCCTAAGGTTGCTGTAAAATAGTAAGATATTACAATATATCCATAATTCTATCTCATTTCAAGTTTGTGCTTGTTTTTCCCTAATGAGCGCTTCATTCACCACTTTCAGTGGTTCTCAACCTTCCTAATGCCGCGACCCTTTAATACAGTTCCTCATGTTGTGGTGACCCCCAACCATAAAATTATTTTCGTTGCTACTTCATAACTGTAATTTTGCTACTGTTATGAATCGTAATGTAAATATCTGATATGCAGGATGTGTTTTCAGGGGTCGCGACCCACAGGTTGAGAACCGCTGGAAGCCTAGATATTCTTACTCGGAAGGGGGAATGTTCTTTTAGCATTAGATATTTATCTTGTAAGCAGCAGGAGCCACCTGGAGTTTTTTAAAGTGAGGAGAAGGGGCAGGCCAGTAGGAGACCCCAGTTCTAGCATCAGCCATGCCTCTCACTAGCTAGTTAGAGCGCAGCGCTCCTCTGGGCCTGTTACTCCCGCATCTGTAAAATGAGAGCCTGGGAAAAGATGGCCACATCTACCCAGGCCGCATCTTTAAGTCACCAATGGCAAACATTTAGCAACTTGATTTGAGTGAATAACCCTGAATTTCCCAGAAGGCCCCTTTCTTGGAGATTTGTATCTTACATACCTAGTACGAGAGGTGCAGAATGTCCTGTGCAGCCAGCGCCTTCTGTTCATTCCTCGGCGTCGACCGCCCCCTGCAGGCGCTCTCCGGGACTGACTCGCCTTGTGGTCAGGGCCCTGTCTTTGGAGACAGACACACCTTTCCTTCACTTAAACCACTGAGCATAGGACAGAGCAGGACGGGGCATAAACGCCTTTTCATTAGTGCAGAGGCGAAAGCCAGTTAATAAAGACCCAGAGAAGAGGAAGGGCCTTCAGGGTGTAGATGAAGGAAGGAAACGAGATGAGTTTTAGCTCTCCCGACAGCAGCATATGAAAAAGTAGCTTTGTTTATTTATTTTGTCTAGTTCCCTGGCTCCCTAGCTGGAGTTTTATACACATTCCTTATCAGATTCTTGGGATTTTTTTTTTTTTTTTGCCCCACCGGTGTGGCTCATTGGTTGGGTGTCGTCCTATGAATCAGGAGGTCATGGTTCGATTCCGGTCAGGGCACATGCCCAGGTTGCAGGCTCCATCCCCATTGTGGGGCATGGAGGAGGCAGCCTATCAATGATTCTCTCTCATCATTGATGTTTCTATCTCTCTCCCTCTCCCTTCCTCTCTGAAACCAATAAAAATATATTAAACAAAAAAATAAATTAATTTTCTTAAATTTAAAATAAGAATCTTGGAATTTTCCACAGCAGAATATGTATAATGTATTATATTGCTACCATAATAGAGAACATTATGACCAGAAAGCTTGTATCTCTCTTTATGTGTCAGTAAATGATTGTTCAGTGCTTCTCTATGGATAAGTTAAGCCATCTTCATTGGGGTAAATATTATATTTCCATTCTTTCTCGCTCAAGGCATAAAAAATTACTATCATTTATCATGATGCAAAAGTAATTAAGTGGGCAGAAGTCATCTTTTCAAGACCTGAGTATGATTCTGGAAAAGCTTTTGACTGCCAACAGTCCTAATTATTACTGTCTTTGTACCTAACTGATTTACTCAGAGAACATGTGGCCATTTGAATACTATTTGATTCTGGTGATAATGGATTGGTGCAGCATGTTTTCATTCTGCTCAACAATGGTTTAAAATATGTTTCTGCCTTATATGGTGGGCAATTATACTTTCTGTTCAGAATCTGTGAAGTTAATGATTCTTCACATTTACTGCAAAACCTTTTTATTCTTTCTATTTGGATGAATGAATAGTTATTTTCTCTAAATATAAGTTTCAGAACTGTTGCATTTCTACAGCTAAAGCTGTGGTAAAATATAGCAAGTGAATGTGCATTCGTGTGTATTTCATGGCACATTAAAATTGTATTTTAAATGCCTTTTTCTATGGTCACGTCTGGTCTTTCCATGCCTTAATTAAGGCACCAGGATAGCTATAGTATAAGGAATTGTGGGAGCCAGTGATGTATTGGAAGGCAGGAGACAATACTCAGTAGGACAGTCTGGTCATTAGAAACCACCTGTATTTCCCAGCGAATCAGACAAGAATGCTGCAAATCAGAGAAGAACAAGAGGAAAGTCCCGCCATCTCCCTTGGCTCATGCCTTCCTTCCTCTCCACTGACTACAGCACTGACCCATCCATCAGGCTGGGACATGGAATACACAGGAGCCTCATGCACAGTGATGCTCGAGCCCACACACAGAGACCCTGATTCATCATAGCAGAAGTTTAAAGATTTGGAAATTAACTGCTTATTCTCAGGCATGAACTCAGGTCTAACATCCAGTTTGGGAGTAGGTCAGGGGCCATGTTATTAGTTTTTTCCTACAGATGGTCGCTGGCACGATGGTTCGGCTTACAATTTTTCTGTTCTAGCATGGTGCAAAGCCTTATGTATTCAGTAGAAATCGTACTTTGAATTTTGAATTTTTATCTTTTCCTAGCTAGTGATATGCAGCATGATACTCTCATGATGCTGGGCAGTGGCACTGAGCCACAGCTCATAGCAAGGCATGCAATCAATCACAAGAGTAAGCAACTGATAGCCTACAGTGTACATGTTGCCAGCGTTACGTTATTTACAATAAGTTTATTGGGATGCAAACCCATAGTTAAGTCAAGCTTCATGAATGGATGCAACCACCCCAAAACTTAGTGGCATAAAACAATATTGTGACCATGGATTTTGCGAGTCAGTAACTCAGATGGGGCAACATGAGGATGGTTTGTCTCTGCCCAGTATGTCTGGGGCATCAGTTGGGAAAATTAATGGCTGAGGGAGCTGGAATCGTCTAGAGGTATCTTCACTCACGTTCTGGCTTCTGGGACTGGTGTTGGCTGGGACCTCAATGAGCTGTTGGCCAGAACCTCTGACGGTAGTGTGCCTGTGGGCCACATTGTGGTGGCAGCTTACCATGATGTGTATGAACATGCATGAGACCCAGACCTGCAGCAACCACCTTGTAAGGAAGGGAGATCCCTGAAAACAAAGGTCAGAACACAAGATGGTGAAGCTGAGAGATGGAAAGAACCGGAACCACTGAATTAATCTCGAGTACTCTACCTCCAACTTCCTGTTCAGTGAAATAAAATTTTCTGCATGTTTTTTTAAAGAATGGGTTCCATATTATACAATTCTAAGAGCACATTTGAACTGTGAAGAATATCTTTACCATCTGAGGACATGGATATGGATGTGCATGATTTAATGTGCAAATAGTATCTTACTTTTTGTCAACATTTCCCTAATTATTAGTGAGACTGAACATCTTTTTATAACATGGTGGCATATAAATGTATTTTCCTGTAAATTCATGTATCTATTTTCCTGTGATTACCTCTTTATAGCCTTTCCCCATTTTATTTGAATTGGTTGCATTGTTCTTTATTCATTTTTCAGTCTAATTTACATATTATGGATGTGAACCCTTTTTGTTATGTTGTGTAGTGTTGCAGTATGTTCCCTATTCAATGACTGTTTCATTCCTTTTTATGGAGAAATAGTATTCCATTACATGGATATACCACATTTTACTTATCTGTGTGTCTATTGATAGACATTTGGGTTATTTCCAAATTTAGGTTTTATGAATAATGCTGCTACGAACCTCATATAAACTTTTGGAGTTTGTTACATTCCAATAAAAAAATTCTGTGGGAATTTTTATTGCAATTGCATTAAATTTATAGATTAATTGGGGAAACTTTATTACAATATTTCATATTTCCATCTAGGAAAATTGTTTTCCTTTATAGTTACTTAGGCCTTATATATTGCCTGCCATGAAGTTTTATCGTTTTCTTCATAAAATTCTGGTGCATTTCTTTTTTATAATTTCTACTTATTTATAATGTTTTTTCATTTTGAATGGAATTTTTAAATTAAAATTTCTATTTTGTGAAAGCACTGAAAAGAAAGGGGCACAAAGGAAAAGCTTACAAATTACACAGGACAGAATTCTGGGGCGAGGCAGTCGCAGCTGTCATCTCCCCCCAGATGCCGAGGCAAAGGTGAACGGCGAAATTGTTTCATAGTTTGAGAATTTAATTGCTCTCTGGTGTCACCAGACCATGATGATTTCCTGTGAAGGGTTTTCCTTCTGCGACACCATGCAGGAGTTGAGCAATCATGGGAGGGCATTTCTATTATTTGCCCCAGCATTTAAGGTGCCATGTTAATGATAGCACTGCCACATCTTACTACTGTCTACATTTTAGAATGTGACTAAATGCATCCCTTTTATTGTTCTCTTCCAGGATTTCCAATGAACACTCCCCCAAACTCCAGATCCGGAGTCACAGTTACTTGAGGGCAGTAAGTGAAGTCTCCATCAACCGAAGCCTAGACAGCCTTGACCCTGCTGGCCTGCTCACGTCACCAAAGTTCCGCTCCAGGAATGAGAGCTACATGCGAGCCATGAGCACCATCAGCCAGGTGAGCACCTTGGCCACAGGCCATTAACTGCACAAGGGTTACTGGACACTGAGAGTGATGGAGTGAAGAGTCAGTCATCCCCCAGGAGGCCACTGCTGAATCAGGCAGGAGGCCTGGTCTGAATGCTGCTTGCGTTTGGCCCCTGATATCAACAATCTACCAGCAGGTGAGGGGTCTTCTGCAGATAAATAAAGCACATCAGGGGAGTTCTTGAAAATTCATGAGCATCAGTAAATTTGTCAGCAAGAAGTCAATAGATGAGGCTTCAGTTGTAAGATGCTCAAAGGATAAAAGGACATGGTAGACATCACTGGCAAAACCAAGGCAGTGTCCAATCATAAAAGCACAAGTATTAAGCAGGCCATCAAGACAAGAAATGTGATACAATCTATTTACCTGCAGTGGGTCCTAGTTGAATAGTGTGGCTTGGTAATGAGACTGAAGTCCACTTCTAAGAACTGGTACACAGGACTGGAGATGAAGACTCAAAGTTTGCCCAGCCAGCATACCTCAGTGGTTGAGAGTCAACCGTATAAACCAGGAGGTCATGGTTCCATTCCTGGTCAGGGTACATTCCCAGGTTGTGGGCTCGATCCCCAGTGTGGGATGTGTAAGAGGCAGCTGATCAATGATTCTCTCTCATCATGGATGTTTCTATCTCTCTCTCCCTCTCCCTTCCTCTCTGAAATCAATAAAAATATATTTTTTTAAAAAACACTCAATAAAGGCAATGTATTCGGCTAAAGCTTTTCTAGTCTCTCCCACTCAGGGTCCCAGAGGGCATGGGAGAGCGGCGTACTGCCTAAGCTCGGGGTGAAAAGAACCTGAGACTTTTGGGGCACCTGACCTTGCAGCTTTCAGGGGTCACCAGGAAAGCAGAAGGTGCCTCAGAAGCTTCCTCTGGAAGGACAAAAAGAAGGTTATTTTTAATGATGTGTAGGAACATTTCATTTAAAGTTATCTCACAATTTAAGAAATACGCACTATGCTATTAATTCAGCTAATACTAGTATTTATTGAGCGGAACACTGAGCTGGATTATGCATGCTATTCAGTGATGAATACAACATAATCCCTGCTGCCACCACCCCCAAAGCTTACAGTCGAATGGAGAACATACAAAAAACTTAAAAAAGTGCTGGCACAAACATTATTTTCTTGAACACTGCAAAAACACTCTGAGATAGGTAGGGCAAGAATTAACAATGAAGCCACCTTTACTAGGTCAGGCACTGTGCCAATTGCTTTATATTTTTAAAATATTAGTCCTTATAAGCACCCTGTAAGATATGTAAGTAACCAGATGCTAAATGAGACTGTCTTAATGGTCATGAAATTGTCAATAAGATCCTGAAGCGAAGGAAAAAAAAGATACTAAGTACCCAGATTCTAAAGAGAGAGCTTCTAGGCATTTTAACAAATAAAGTAGTATCTGATTCTTAACTTTGAAAAATGCTAGCCTAAAGCATGTACAAGGAATAGAAAATGCTCTGGTTTAGATGGAGCTTAGAATACTTGTAGAGGCAGCAATGGAAACCTATTCTGAATTTTATTCTGGAGTCATTTTTATACAAATGGTCTTGCTTGGCAGGCCCAATGGACTGGACTTTATTCATTAGGAATGGGATTGATTAAAGATTAATTAAAACTTCAGCTTTTAAACAAGCAAGAAATCTGATCAGAATTTTGACATAGGATAATTAATCTGACCAAAAAATGTGGAAATATTGGCGCTGATGTGAGTCTAGGGGCAGAGAAGCTAGTTTGGAAGACAGACATTGTGATCATCAAGGTGAATTAATGCTACTAGTGGTGCTGTAGAGCTGGTGATGGTGATGATGATGGTGAAGATGGTGGTAATAGTGGTAATGGTGACGGTAGTAGAGATGGTGGTGATGATAGTGATGTTGGTGGTAGTGGTGGTGATGGTGGTATTAGGGATGATGGTGGTCTGGTAATAGTGTTGAAGAAGATGGTGCTGATAGTGATAGTAGTGTAGTGATGGTGGTAATAGTGGTGGTAGTGATGGTGGTGATGGAGATTGTGTTTATGGTGGTGATGGCAGTGATGTTGGTGTAGGGAAGTGATAGTATAATGTGGTGTTGGTATAGATTAGACAAATAATGCATTTGAACAAAAAATGATATTATAGGCTAAGCATGGAAGCATCTCTGCGAGAGAACCTTAAATAGAACCATAGCTCTCACTTCATCCCTACTCCCTGATCTACATGGATTCCTGAAGAGCAAAGAACGACAGGGACCACAGTGAGGTTCTGAGAGCAGGGCAGGGTGGGAGACATGGGAAACTGGCATGTGAAATGTCAGCATTTCCTTACTTTAAAGAAATCTCTAAGAGCATGCACACCTATGTTTGCTAGCTGATGCTGCCCAGTGATGCTCACAAACCCAACTCTCAGGGAAATAGTTGCTGCCTCCTTTGGTGAAGGATGGCCTTGTCTTGTCCTTACGTTTTCACAATAAACAATATAATATAACATTCAAAGCTTCTTTAAGCTTATCTTTATTCTGGACAGCCTCATGATCACATAGTCTTCTGCAATTATAAAATCATCTATAAATACAATTGTCATGTGAGCAGAATACATCAGTGGGCTTAAAATTTTTTATTGGAAAAATGTTTATACACATTCACTGCTTTTATAATTTTACACATTTAAAACAGGGGCACATGTCACTTCCCCATTGGGACATTGTGTGTCACTTCCCCCATCGGGATAGTGTGCCCATGCAACTGCCCGCTACTAGTCCCTGAGTCAGAGACATGGCCTTCTGTGAGACAATATTACTTCCTAGTGAGAGCTAATGAGATATCAACAAATTACTGAAGAAGCATGTTGATACTGCAGCTGGCAAAGCTCTGCAATTCAATGGTATCATCATTTCACCTTAAGTAAAATACAGGAAGTATAGCCATCCTAAATGGATTCCTAATGATACCTCATTTTTCTAGTTCTATATTCAATTTTCAGGTAAGACAGCATCTTTAAGGATAATTTCAACTTTCAATTGCAGTTCCAATATTGCCATTATTCAGAAAATAGTTTCTTCTTCAAAGCAATGCTACCATATATATATATATATATATATATATATATATGTATATACTCTAGACTTTTCAAAAAGTGGTAGACTTTTATAATGTTGAAGAGATGCTTTCTTATAAATCATTAGTAGCAACCCTAATAGTATAGAATTTAAGTGCATTATATCCTGTACCCTTTTAAAACTTGATACATATATTTTTCAAAGTCTCCTAGAAAGATCAAAGTAAAATGTTGTAAGCTAAGAAATTGGCCTAGAATAACTAAATTGTATGTTTGACATTCATACCTCACAGAAATAAAATAACCATAAAAACAGATTGTGCTTGAATGTTAGATAATAATTAAACATCATTTTATATGGTTACTCCCTTTTTATGTTTTGCTATATATACATCTAATAAATATGAGGGCTTTTAAAAGTAAGGCTTGCCCTAGCTGGTTTGACTCAATGGATAGAGCATCAGCCTGCGGACTGAAGGGTCCCAGGTTTGATTCTGGTCAAGGACACATGCCCAGGTTGCAGCTCGATCCCTAGTAGGGGGTGTGTAAGAGGCGGCCGATCAATGATTCTCTCTCATCATCATTGATGTTTCTATCTCTCTCCCCCTCTCCCTTCCTCTCTGAAATCAATAAAAATATATTTTAAAATAATAATAATAGTGGTAGTAGTAGTAGTTATGATGAAAATGAAAACAATGTTCGTATACATTTAGGAACAATGTATTGTTTACCAGATACAGTCTGGAAGCTTTGCATATTATCTCATTAATTTCATATGAACTATAAGAAATATCTTTTTTATTTACAAAACTCAATCTCGGAGAGTTGGAATAATTTGTCTCATTCTTCTCACTATATCGAAAAATAGTATACACTACTTATGCAGTGCCTGCCATGTGCCTGGAAATGTAGTATGTATTTGTATATGTTACTTTATTTTTATCCTTAAAGCATCAATATGGGGTAGGTATTATTTTAATCATTTTACAGATGAGGGAAGTGAGGCCATCTATAACTATTTGACCTATATTTGTGTATAAATTTGATAAAGAATAATCTTTTTATATGAAAAAGTAGTGTCAAGCATTCAAAAATATAGTTATTAGTGATATTAAGACTAAAAGCACGCTAAAGTGGGACAGAACATATAGGTTATGTGCTCTTATAATGGAAATATAGTACAACTATTGTAAAATGAGGAAAGAATGGAGAGAGCATATGTACCCCCCCCCAAAAAAAAAGAATTGTTAACTGTTTTCAGTAATGATATGGTCAGTGGTAGTATTAATGTGTTATTATGAGGCTGTTGTGCATGTATTGTAGAATAAAGCAAGTGAATAATTGTAGGATATCCCAATCCTGTCATCTTTGTGTGCATGAGAACCAGAATTTAGTATGGAATAAAGAAATAATTATAGCCCTAGCCGGTTTGGCTCACTGGATAGAGCGTCGGCCTGTAGACTGAAGGGTCCCAGGTTCGATTCCGGTCAAGGGCATGTACCTTGGTTGCAGGCACATCCCCCGTGGGGGGTGTGCAGGAGGCAGCTGATCGATACTTCTCTCTCATTGATGTTTCTAACTCTCTATCCCTCTCCCTTCCTCTCTGTAAAAAATCAATAAAATATATTTTTTTAAAAAAGAAATAATTATAATATAGAAGAGATGACATAAAAACCCTGAAGTCTGGGTTTGAAATGGAGGAATTCATAACCTAGTTCTGTCCACTGAGTTAGCCTAGGAACAATGACCAACAAGTAGCAATGACAACAAAGCTTCCTAGTGAGCAGATTGTGTTCTTGGGTAACAGTTCCCACTAATAGAAACGAGGGATTTGGGGGTAAATACTGACTCCAGGACTGGGCAGGAAACGTATGAGATGAGTTTAGGATACCTTGTCATAACCGATAACAAGGAAGCTACTCGAGACTACTAGCTTCAGGTCAAAAGGACTCAGGAGCCAACCAAAGAGGTGCCCACTGGCCAACACATTTCACTATGTATTCTAACAGACAATTCACACATGATGTGCCTCTTAATGAAAGAACACATGACTTCTAGTCTTGCCAAAGGGATTGAGCCTGAGTCCGATCAAAATTTTGGAGCCAAAGAAAAAGAAAAGAAAAAAATCTGGATCCAGCTTATACTTTTCAGGAAATATAAAAGACAAAGAAAGATATATGCTAAATCCCACCATGAGTATGAAATCCCCAAATCCAAACTATGGTAATCTCTACAGGTCAAATGACCCAGATATTTCAATGGATGAATTATGATTTTTAAAATGGATGAAGGAAGACCTGTATGTTAAACATGAATTCAAAGATACATTAAATATTTAAAATGTGTACAATTAAACAATAGAATACAGGAATGCACAATTGGGTAAAAAAGAAAAGAAAAAGAAGTGATTGCAATAGAACTCAGAGTATGGGTTACTCTGGGAGGGAGGGTGGGGATTGCGGTTAGGATGGAGCTTATGGAGGGGCTGCTGAGTGCCTGGAAAAGTTCTGCTTCTTGCTCTGGGTAGTGCTTATGCAGGTGTTTTCCTTGTTATAATCTGCTGAGTTATACATGTTTTGTGTGTGGTTTTACTTTATGATTCAAGGTTTATGAAAAATAGCCAGGAGGACACATATACCTGTAGAAAGCTAGTTATTCAAGTGTAATAGTTACCTTCAAAGGGATGGATGTACTATTTCTTTGTGATGTTTGGCAAAATGGTGACTACAAAGGAAAATGTAACAAGTGATACATATACATGTTTACATAGATACATACACGCATACATAGTAAACGCTTATTTTGCTTTTACTTTGAAATCATTTAAAACTTGCAAAAGAATTGCATGTAACTCTCTCTCCTTGACAATGAATTGCAAATATCATGTCCCTTTAAGTCTCCAGTACTTCCTAAAAAACATGGATATAGATCATCTAGATTTAATTTTCAATGTGGACATATATAATTAGCCTCAAAAGCATGCAGGGGTTATACAAAATTAGATGAAGTATGCTAAAATACTATTTTAAACGCTAAAGAATTTTTAAGAAATCCTTGTCTTTTCCACTTAGTATGCTTTAAAGAAATTGGTCACTTTTGTCTGAAGTTTCAAGAATTAGGCATTATTGGAGGGCGTCTTCAGATAACATAAAATGAGGAAAGAGTCAAATATTGTAATAGTTTTCACTATGTATTCTAAGCTTAGTTGCAGTTTAACCTGTTAAATTCTCAATTACTCATGAATTTGATGTTAGGGAAATTAGACATGAAGTTTTGAAAGGAACCAGAAAATTGAAGAATGCTCCCACATCTCTGCAAAGTGGGACCTGGAGCACTGCGTCTGGCTTATTTATTTATTTCCGTATTTATTTTTTAGAGGGTGCTCAAGCCCCATGTAAGTCATACACAGAGGCATATAAACAAATAAAAACTTATTCCTCAAAAAAGAGAAGGCCTCATTTGGAAAATTTTTACAACGCATTTATAAATAGTGGACCATGGCTATCAGTTCTTTAAAAAGGAGAGCATAACCTTTAGATAGTACGTAGATAGTTTGAAAATCTTGATAGTGCTTTTCCAGACTTTGACATATCAGCTTTGTTCTATTTGGGGGCAGAATATGAGTATCTTGTTAGAAAATATAGGGCCTGTTTTTATACTTTACACTAAATTAAGCTTCAGTCTACAATGAAATTATTTGATGAACTAATCACTTCCAAAAGCACAATAAATACTAGTTTCTGACATGTTTGTGCTGGAAATGCTTCTGTTGAAATACATGAACTCTGACATGGACCGATCAGACTGTTCCCTGGGTTTGCGTTTATAAATAAGGAGAATTAGCCCCTGGGCCGCACTGGAATAACTGTAATGTAGAGGAAATCCAATGCATTGGAGTTTTAGCCATCGGACGCTGCTTTCTGCTGGGGAGCTGCGGTTTGGAGATGCTGGAAGGGAGAGATCACTTGCCCCCTGGGCGGGAGGAGGCGCGGAGTGACAGCGCCCTGTCTGTGCCCGCAGGTGAGCGAGATGGAGGTGAACGGGCAGTTCGAGTCCGTGTGCGAGTCGGTGTTCAGCGAGCTGGAGTCCCAGGCAGTGGAAGCTCTGGACCTGCCCGTGCCCGGCTGCTTCCGCATGCGGAGCCACAGCTACGTGCGGGCCATCGAGAAGGGCTGCTCCCAGGACGACGAGTGCGTGTCCCTGAGGTCCTCCTCCCCGCCGCGCACCACCACCACCGTGAGGACCATTCAGAGCAGCACGGGTGAGTGAGCAGAGCGGCTGTCCCCGGGGCCCGGGCTGGCCTGGCGCCTGGTGTGCCACAGCCCCGGTAGACAACACATTGTGTCCTTGTGGTTATCACACAGTCACCATAACCAAATATCACCCACGCCCTACAAAGCCTCTGGCCACATTCACGCCCAACCTTCTTTCTCCGTCACCATCTCTGCTTTCAACAGAGAAAAAAAAATGCAACGAGGGGACCAGGAGGGACAGCACAGGGGACAGGTCTTCACAAGATCCCCACACGGCATCCTAGGCGCCAGCAAAGTCATCCCCAACAACGCTACTCTCCATAACCAGCTCTGACTTCAAGGGGTGTGACCCTGAAACAAACCACACACCATGGTTGTTGAGGATCACAGAGTTGACATGCTCTTTTAATTGCAAGATACCCACCAAATGCCTATCCCCAAAGGCCTGAAATGAATGATCCAGTCATATTGATTGCACATTTTACGAGTTCCCTTTCATTGTAACAGAAGGCAGATTGATTTCATTATTTTAAAACCTCTGACTGTCATAGGTATAGAGCACCTCCTTTCCCCTCTAAATTGAAGTTAGGGTTATGCCTTTAAACTGTATGTTTATCAGTAGATTTTAGGCAGACAGGCACAGAAGAGCTTAACTGGTTCCCATGACACTGGGACCCACACAGGAATGCAACCATGAGTTATGTACAACAAGGCGTGTGTGTTTTTATATTTATAACACTTGTGTCCAAGAAGAAAATCCCCTCCATCTTAACAAGGCTTAACTTTATGATTAAATTTAGCATCACTCCAATACAGAGTAGTTCTACGAGATCATCACTCTTAGCATCAAGATAAATAATGATGACTAAATTAGAAGAAAGAGCTTATGCCATAATATTGTATTATTCCATTTCTGTTCTAGGTGCATCAAAGGTCTGTAATTGAGAATAAGTCCTCAAACCTGAGTTAAAATCCTACTAACTAGAAACATGAGGTTGAAGTAGGAATTTAGGGGAGAAAAACTATTAGAGGCTAAACAACAGGAGTTCCTTCCTGACCAATGCAAAGAGGTGCCCCCAGACACGGCACTGGCCCCTCGGGGAGCCCAGCCGCTCTTCCCCCTCGGGCCATCTCCAAGCAGAGAGTGGATGTGTGTTCTTGTTCACTCAGAAATTCTGTAAGAACCGCAGATGAGGTTTATAAATTAAATAAGGCTGATTTGTTTAATTATCATGGGCATATTTATGTGTGTGTTTACATTCGTGCAGTCAGTGCAGTTTAAAGGTCTGCCCTGTGCCTGTAGCACATCACTGTCTTTGGGTGTTTTCTCCTTTTCATCATCCCCACCCGACACATGACCCTTTTCCAGTGTCTGCTCCATTCCTCACCCTAACAGCCTCATCGCCTGCCAGCTGCTCTTCTGTACTGAAACCACGCCTTCAATACACAAAATGCAGATGCTTGCTCAGAAGAACGAAGGGAAGGAAACGGGCCACTGGCTTACTCCTTCTGCCTCGGGGAGTGTTATCGATAAAGTGGCAGGGGACTCCAGATGGCTTATGTTTTGCTCACCACTCAGAGGATTTCTTTGCGAGACAACTTACTTATACTTCCTGCAACAGTTCTTGTCTCATGGTCTTCACACCAAACACCTGACCTTTCTAAGACCCTTCCAGCTACTCTGGAGGTTCCCGGAGTTCAACAACAGGGTTACCAGATAAAATCCAGGTTGCCAGTTACATTTAAGTTTCAGATAAATAGTGAATAATTTTGTCGTGTGTGTATACCCCAAATATTGCAGGGAACATACTTCTACTACAAAACTGTGTGTAGTACTTGCTGGATCTGACAGGCCTGTCCAAGGAGATGAGAGGTGGACCATTCCTCACTCTGTTGTTATATTTAGAATCCAAATCGGATTGTTATATTTAGAATCCAACAATTGGAGGATTGGAGGGGTCCTCTGTGGGAGAACACCCCAAAGTAGGGAGAAGTAAGCAAAAACGCCGTGGAGGTTATTCCATCTGCTCTCCTCGGGCTCTGTGTGTCTCGTCCTAGGCCATGGGCCACAGCCTGCAGCTCTCCGGGTGGGAAGGTGGCAGGCATGGCTGCAGCTGCAGGCGGGTAGGGCAGGAAGATGTGACTTGCCTTTGGAGTGGACAAGCATAAAATATCAGATTTTTGTACAGGGCTTCACCCTTACATCAAACTGAACATTAAGATGTATTATCTTTACAGTCATGGAAAAATGAACCATTAAAGGAGTTATAAACCATTACAATAGGTTCTAAGTATGCACCTCAGATATTTAGAAGTACAACCTTAAGAATTTTAATATCACCTTTCACAGTTTCTCTATCCCATAGATTTGTTCCTTTTTAAGCCATTGTTTTATGATATAGTAAGATTATGTATCCTTCATTCTACCCTCCCATTACTTCTACATGCCTCTCTTTCTCTCTCCCCTCCTCCTCCTCTTCCTCCTCCTCCTCCCCCTCCTCCTCCTCCTCCTCCTCCTCCTCCTCCTCCTCCTCCTCCTCCTCCTCCTCCTCCTCCTCCTCCTCCTTCTTCTTCTTCTTCTTCTTCTTCTTCTTCTTCTTCTTCTTCTTTCTCTCTCTCTCTCTCTCTCTCTCTCTCTCTCTCTCTCTTTCTCTCTCTCTCTCTCTCTCCTCCCCCCCTCTTTTCTCTCTCTCTCTCTCCTCCGCTCTCCTCTTCTGCTCTCTCTCATTTTCCCTTTCTCTCACACATAACCACAGTATTATTATACAAATTTTCTTCTACTAGTTTTCTTCTTACATTGAATAAAATACAATTTCATGTAGAAAACAGAAAATCTACTTTCTCACAGGATGACAGGATGTACTAACTTTTGAAAGAATGCACTCATCTGTGGAAATCAGGAAATCACTTTGCTCTAATTTTAACCATTTCCCCCATGTACACAGGTCAAATTTACATCCATGTTTTTACGACATGATATAAACTTCCCTTCTGTTTCTCTTCCTTTACTCCTTATTCTTGGATACTCACAACACAATCCCTTTTTCCTAAACTTCCCCTTGCCTGAAAAAAAAGTCCTCATTTTGGCAAATTGCAGTTATTAGTTATAACTTCCCCCCACAACAACCCACATTCTGAGTCTTTGATTTTCATGTCAATCCATTTTAATTGTTCATATTTTCAACAAAATATACTATTAAGTTTTTCTCTTCCAGTCTTGTTCATTCTTCATATTAGCAAAATGAAACCATACACCAAAGTCCACAAAAAAGTATCTGGTATCATTTGGGAAAGTCATGGCGATGGGCTGAGTTCTAAGAGACCCTAAGGATCCCTTAGCAACGTGAGTGAGGATGGACAGATTGGTCCCAGCAAACCATGGCAAATTGGGAACTGAGTTAGAGTGACTTGTAATTATGTTTCCTTTGATTTATTGACTTTTGGACTTGTATAAATATGATAGAATCTTACATTCTCTCGACCTATATAATCTGCTTCAAGCAACCAGATATTTCTTTATCTAATAGATTGAACAAGTTTTTATATAAACCATTGCAACTGGGACTATTCGTTTAGGGTTAGAGCTACTGTAGGAAAGTAAAATGCAAAAATGGGCAATTACCCACATAACTATGGGAAACAGACACCCTTACTCAGTCGTCCAAATATTTTAGTTAAAAGTAAGACTTGGCGCCGGCAATATACCCAAACCTTCACTTCAGAGTATTGGATTAAAACTACCTTGTGTGGAATATACAGCTATTCTTTAGGGTTGTTGTGATATTCTAATGAGATCATTAATAAGGAAGCACTACGTAAGTTATAAACTACAATGCCTCTACCCTGTCTTTTTTTTTAATATATTTTATTGATTTTTTTACAGAGAGGAAGAGAGAGGGATAGAGAGTTAGAAACATCGATGAGAGAAAAACATCGATCAGCTGCCTCCTGCACACCCCCGACTGGGGATATGCCCGCAACCAAGGTACATGCCCTTGACCTGAATCGAACCCGGGACCCTTTAGTCCCTAGGCCAACGCTCTATCCACTGAGCCAAACCGGTCAGGGCCCTCTACCCTGTCTTTGATTTTAAATTTCTCAGCCAAGCTTATTTATTAATACTGACAATGGCTAAACCTGTGTTCACTTCCTACTTACAAAGCATTATGAACGGGCTGCATAGATTCTCTCAGGTAATCCTAAGGAATATTCTATGACGTGACCTATGTAGTTCCTGACTAGGGATGAAGTACAGGTGAAAAAAAATAATTACAGCTTGGAGAGTTCATTATACAACTTGACCAAAGCACTACAGCTAGTAGTGGACAGGGCAGGCTTTTAAATTCTCGTTGCCTGTCAGTAAATGCTTAGTGAAGTATGGTATGCCCGGAAATAATCTAATACAAAACCTGTCTGCTAAGTGAGAGGACTCTTTTCTTTGATGCTTTCTTCCCACAAATATTCCTTTAACTCCTGCCATGTCTAAAACCTGTGTTTTCCATCAAAATTTCTGAAAAATACCTCTTTTTAAAAGAAACCGTTCTGTTCACATGTTATTGACATGGCTTTTCATATTGGTTTGTCTAACTGTGGAGTATCTGCTTAAAGTGAAATTAAAGATATAAAATATAGAGAAATTAAAATGCATGAAGGAAAAGCATATAAAAAGAAAATACGCTTTGGGCTTAAAGTTTCATATTACACTTTTTCATTTGGCATTATATTGGATTTAGAGATCAAATGTCTAATCCTTTGATCTAGCTGTAGTATTGTTAGACAGCACTGAATGGGGAAAAAAAGAATTTTTGCCAACTCTCTTATAAACTAAGCAGGTGGTAAATTCTGTTTTGTGGCTGATAAAATGATCAGAGGTCTCTGCCTTAGACTAAGTAAAAAAATACAATAATGTAATCCTGATCTGACTGGTCTCTTGATTGAGTTGTAAAGCAAAGATGTGAGCATTCATAACCCAGTTACAAAAGTCAATGAGAAAACACAAATCAGACTC